CAGTTGTGCTTTCAAAGGAACCACTGCTATTAAAATAGAAATTAACTTCTTTTGGCTCGCTCCTTTTCTAAGAGCGCCAATCTGCCAAAAGGGTTTTTGAAAAAGACCCAAAAAGTGCAGTACGTTTGTTGTCGTTTTTCGTTAGCAGCAAAGTCAACCACTCCTGAGCGAATAAACTTTACTTTGGACTTCAAACAAATTGTTGTTTTGTGTGTGTGTGTGAATTTTGTTTTGTACACCTCTCTCTCTCTGTACAACTGCATTAGTAACATCTGCTCCTTCATAAACAAGGACTTCTCAGTGCCTAAGAAAATAATAGTTTGAAAATCCCGTGACTTACGATACAAGCATTGCATACAATCGAGGGATATATTATTTCGTTTTATTATTATCTGGAGTAATGGCGATATGCTAAAACTCTCGATCAACACCACAATATTAGAAGAAAAAAATCTAATGTATTCTATTTCTTTCTTTAAAAAGGTAAGAAGAGAAGAACGATACCCTCGCCGCCAGCGACGAATTGGGCTTTTCCAGCAAGTCCCAAAGAAACTTTTGGTACTGCGAGCACCTGTGGTGATCGAACTCATCCTCCTCCCTCTGCCGCAAGGACTCCGCCTCCTTCCGCATCTCCTCGTGCACGTGCTCCTTCTTTTGATGGTATTTGTGCTGGCAACAGGACTCCAGGTAGAGCTCGTCGATGCCCCAGTACTCGAGGTCATCGCTGAATGCCAGCACACACATTTCTTCCACCAGGTGGAGCTTTCCGGTACGATAGAAGTTGAGCACAGCACTGAACGAACGAGGATGCCGGTCGAAGAAGTACTCGTTCTCCATCAGGCTGAAAGAAAATTCAAAATAGTTTTAAAATTACTTTTTTTTATTGGAATTTCAGTTTGTTTTATTTTTTTTATTGAATATTTCGTCAGGGAGAGAGTGTGGAATTGAGTGGGGCAAAAGCTAATTTTGGCTAAACTGCACCAAATATTTGTTAAAATATTAAAAAAAAAAATACGACATTGTGATTAAAACAGAATTTTAAAACTAATAGGCAAAAACTTAAATTAAATATAAAAATTCATTTTTAAAGATAAAAGCAAAGCAGACTTTGTGTGGTTAAGGTTTTCATACCAAGCCAAATAAGGATGAAACAGATGAATGCAAAAAAAAAAGTGATGCGATGTTGGTTGAAAGCAGAACAATCTAGCAAATGTGATGATCAGAGAAAGGGACCTAGCATGAAAGGCATTCAGGAACATTCTCACACCCAAAAAAATTCCGGTGTGTAAAACGAGTACCTAATGCGAAGGCACGAGTCAGTTTAACATTGGTTCTTCGCCTTCACATCACAGGTCATGCTCAAATGACAGGTTTCACAGAGTAAAATTTGTTGTTTTTGTTACTAATGTTACCTGTCTGACATTGTCAGATCGAGGCCTACGAGATTCATCGAGACTAAGGGCTAGATGTAAACCTGTTGCTAGCCGTAGCTTTGAGCACTATACTGATGACAATATGATTTGGCTAAGTCCCCTCCCCAATTTTGTGAGAGAAGACCCTGGAGGTGGTCAGGGACCTCCCACCACTTTTCTCCTTCCACCAACCTTACGAGAGGATTTGTGGCTTGATGTGTATTTAGGTAACCCTCCTCCCCCATGCCATGAAGACACCAGACATTTACAAACATTCATACCTTCTCCGGGATTCGAACCCAGACCCAACGGCACAACAGTCAGCATTATTAACCACTACACCGGATGGATGACGTACAGTTTGTACTCCATGATTCCTGCTAGGCTGTTGCAATATGATACAGGATGAAACGCTTCATGTCCGAAAACGGAACTGCTAGTTGCGACGGAATTATAGCCGACCGAGCTGCGCTTGTCCATTAGCTCATTGCCTATGATACCTAAATAGTTTGGTATCCAGTAAAATTCTATAACAAAACTTTGCTATACAGTCGACTTGTAGTGTATATTACACACCACAGAATGATACCGAATGGCACACATCACAGGATGACTACGAGTAATCTTTGCGCAGGGGCCGTTCTAATCTTCTGTATCGTTCCAATTTTAGTATATGTACTACCGAAGCAAGTATGAATATTCCTTCAAAACTACACTTAAAAACATTAGGGATGATCTCATTTTTGAGCTATCATCAAGAAACCATTACGAGATCTAAACATGTACACTTCCATACGATGCCCTGATAAACAATAGTTATCATTATTCAACTCAGAAATGTTCGATGGAGTTGCATCTTTAATTTCTGGATTTAAACCATTTTTTATATAACCAATCTATCATATTCTATAATTTGCATTACCCTTGACAAACAAGAAGAGAAATTTCTGAAAATATATTTATCATTAGAATACAGACTAGGATTTTTTAAAACTGCTAGCTTAACTCAAGCATTCGTATCTGTTTAAAATATTAAAGAATCTGAAAGTTTTCGAAGCCAACCTTACTATATACAATATATCCAAAGATCTTTTTTTTTTTAAAAAAAATAAATAAATAAAAACTGCGTAATATATAAAATAATTCTATAAGTAAACTTTTGAGAAAAACACGTTGAAAAATTAAGAGTATTTTTAACTTAAAATTTTAAAATACTAAATTTTTTTTATTTGCGTATAGGATGCTCTCCAATTAAGAGATTGGTTGTACCCTTTCAAATGAATTCAAGATTTAGGATTCCAATTATTTTTTTTTGTCTAATTTACTTTTATTTAATTTTTCGAAATTGCGAAGTAGGTTACACCAATTAATAAGGGGGGGGGTTGGGGAATATTGCTCAAAAAAATTTTTTTTAATTGCTATAAAATTTTCTTATTCCAATCCCCAATGTGAAATAAAGGCATTTCATGAAAAATAAATTGTTGATACAAATGCAAAACAAGGAAACTGAGAGCAAAAGGAGGAGAAGGCCGCGGTTCCACATCTGCATTAAGAGATTCTTGTTCATATGTTTCACGTACATGATATCAAATAAAATTATCCAATAAGTTTTTGGAAACGTGTAACGCATCAAAATTTGTGAATATATTCCCACATAACCTCGTTACTCCTTCCTACACCTGGGTTTCTATTTACGAGGAAGACATGTCAAAGCGTCAAAATCCCCCAATCTGATTTGCAGTATTTTTTATACAGTAGAGAGGGAAAAATAGACTAAAAAATAAAATCACTTTTAACAAAAGTATAAGGTTCCGAAAAGTATGGCAACATTTTCGAAAATGAATTCAAAATAAACAAAGATTTTCACTTACGGTTCTTAATCTGTTACACAAAGAAAAGATTAAAATACCTGTGAAATGCAATGCAAACAGAATGGGGTAACGTCCACGTTTTGAAACCTTCTCCTCTTAGAGTGGCTTCAACACAAGAACAAGAGCAAATTGTAGCATGGTATATCGAATTTAAATTTACAACACGTGTACAGCATGAATGGGGTACCACCCCATTGGAGTTTGGAAGCGAGTAAAAGTTCCCCGGGAGAGATGGATGGAAGGAAGAGAGCCAATACCGTGGCCATCTAGATCTCTAGACTTAACAACTTTGGATTTCTTGGAAGGATATGCGAAAAACATTGTTTAACAGTCTCCAATTTATAAGAGTGATGAAATGAAAAGTCGAATTTCAGAGTCCGTTCACAATGTTCATCATGGAATGCTTCATAAAACGTGGCTAGAAATGTCGTATTGACTCGATGTGTTGAGCGCAACAATTAGTGTGTACATTGAAATGGTGCAATAAATCACTGCAAAAAAAATTCGATAGTTTCCTTATGGAACACAAAAAACCCAAGTGAAGATATCTTTAATTGAATTTTTATTTGTAATTAAAATTCGAAAGAGTGTAGCCACACTTTTCAGTCTCTCACGCGGTATTTCTTTAAATACATATATATCATAGAATGGCTAATTAGTTCAGATACAGATAAAAACAGATAACTTAATCACTAAGAATTATTATTATTAAAATGGATTAAATTTTTTTTTGTAAGTCTTAGTGAGATAATAATAAAAAAATACCTAAATTTTGTTTTAAAAAAATCTTAGCTTTCTAGTTTTACGGATGATAACGAAACCTTTTCGATGCCAAGCATATTCTTAACTTTTTTTATGTTGACAATTATTTCTTATAACTGTTACACTTTAAGCAACAGAAGCTTTTTGAAGACAAATTTCGTAAATTTGAACTACAGTAATACTCCGACTTACGCGAGTTCGGAGTAACGCGATTTTCAAATTTCGGCGATTTTTTTTCATCATTACAAGTCAATTGGCATCATTCCCAGAGCCTTGTAAAATTGGTAATGTGATTGAAGAAGTTGTCCACCTTGCCAGGTTAATAAATTCAGAAGGGGATAGTGTGTGTGTGATGACATTCAAGAACTGCTGGATTCCCAGAATCAGGAGTTTACAAATAACAACTCATAGAAATGCATGAGTAAGCCCAGGTCATTAAAAACTCAACTTCTTCAAACTCAGTTCAATCAGATTGAATGACAGTTAGTAATTTGACAGAAAACTTACGTTAAATTGAAAAATAGGTTAAACATTTTAGAAAATTTTTGAAATCTAGAAATGAAGAGCGTATTTTTTTCAACAAAACAAGGAATAAAAAAATTATGAGCCTGCTACGCGATGGAACTTTCAGGGAAAAAAAATAATGGAGCTGACAGACTTCTTGTTTGATTTTATGAAACCTTCTACATCAAGGGTGTCAAACTCAAAGGTTAACGGGTCATTATTAATAGAAAACGTAAGTTTATTTCGAATGTTGTTCATTTCATCCTGGGATACATATGAAAGACGGGAGATAGATGAATAGAAACATACAACACAAACACAGAAGAATATAGACTTATATTACAAAAACGATGATTCCAGCATAGAACAGAAGGGTGAGTTGCTTGCCATTCGAGACGGGATTCCATTACAGGCGAAAATCCGACTTTTTTCCCCCGAAGATACATTTAGGTCTTATTTGGGATTCGAACCCGAGCCCACTTGATTACAAGTCAAGTGTCATTACCACCATACTAGCTGGGTGGCTTATTTCAAATGATATTACAAAAACTAAAAATAATTTATAGGTATGTATATGCGACATATCATACCCCGACTTACGCAGTTATCACTCAATCCCACCTATCACGTGATTTCGGGGTATTACTGTATTGTCAAGTGGTGAGGACGATACTCGACTTGGCATCTCTTTTAAAACTTCCACGTCATGACAATGTGAAGATTTTGAGTTTCACAAATTTTACGAGCATCTACCCCACAGCGCGACGGGTCTTCAATGGTATCACGACCCTAACCCTCAACTCGATTACAACAACTCCAATCACGAACAGGACCATTCGACTGCAAACTTTTCTGTCAATTAAGAAGTTCATAAGTATTTGGAACAATACTTAGCAGACATATCTCGGATTATGTATTCTTTTACAAATGTGAGTTAAAAGATTTGAAATGCTGTTCACAAACTACATAGCTAAGAGCGAAAAGATACTCGTTTGTAATATAAACATATCAAAACGAGTGTTGCTATGAATAAAATATATAAAAAATCATTTTATTGTAGAGAAAAATAAACTGTTAATATATCATAAGGCAAATGAAACGTATTAAACAACCTTTTTTTAAAATAAAAAGGAATTTATTATGTGAGTTGGATGGATTCTTTTCTTGAATACCCCAGCGCATACAAAAAAAGAATTTATCTAAGAATGCGCATAGCATATTTGAAGACATTAAAAATGAAAAAACAAACAAACAAATGAAGCTTCGGTTTTTGTATTAAAGGCTTAATATTGAATGTGAAAAGGAAATAACTGTACAAATGTACTAATCTAATTTCTTGGACGGATTCAAGTAAGCTCTAGATTTTTGAATCCTTATAAGTGTCTCCTTCCATTTGCTTAAAAGTCTTAACATGCCAAATCCCAAAACAATCATTGCTTAAGAGCATGTTTTGCTATCGATACTACCAAATCGCTTTTTTTTTTCTTTCGGTTATAGAGTCCAACAGCCCTAGCGTTGCTTTTGTTATTGTTTCCATAGTTTAGTGTTCGAAATATGAGGCAAATAATCAATTCAAAATAAACTAACTTTTTAATTAAAACTCGGACGAAAGAATATTGAAAAAATCTTTACAATTTAAGATCTAATTAAATCAAATCAGTAAAAACAGTTTTGCTTTTTCTACTACGTTTAAAAAAAAAAAAAAAATTGAGTCCCAACAATCAACTGAAGAATTTTCACATCCAGATTCATTGCAAAAAGGATGCCAACTTTTACAACAAAACTTAAACTACCAAACGATTAAATATCAGTAAAAAAATTAATAACAGGACAATTAGAATTACATAAAAATTATTAAATCAGAGCAGACGATAATAGCACGAAAAAAAAAGAATTTCCATTGTTGATAGATATATTAAAAATAATTTCAAAGGACATATTTCATATTTACATATTACATATTTTGATTTATATTAGAATCTAAATCAATTACGTGGTTTCTTTTTCATATATGTAGACCTCCTCGAGGCCAGATGAAGAGTAAAGAGCCATAGAATAGGCTGTCAAATAGTGCGAGTTATAACTGTTTCCAATTACTTTTTCCACAGGTTTATTGATCTACGTTAAGAAACAATCACTGTTTAAAAAGAGTAGTTTTGTACGAATCAAAAATATTAACGTTTTTTTCGTATTTATTTAACTTGCATCAGAGTTGACAAGAAGTTTTTAAAAAGTAGAATCTAAATTTATGTTAAAATGCTTAAAATATATCGAAGTTCTCTTATATGGTCCGCTGGTCTCTGAAATATATTTTATCCATGGAAATACAAGCAAAACTTGCTTTGAAAAGAATGCACAGATTTAAGAGGTTCTTTTGTGTATGTAGACAGTACGTGACATGTGAGGTGTATTAGATCTACGTGATAGTCTACTGATTTTCTCTTGTGCAAATATTTAAAAGTTTTGTTCAAGGAGCAATATTTTTTCAACTTCTATCATTTGTTTTTCTGTCAAATTTTTTTTTCACGTAAAAAAATGAATTGAGAAGAATTACGTGAAAAAAATAAAATATTCCATTTCATTTTATTTAGAATAATTAATTCGACGGCTGTGTTTATTCAACTTATTCCCTAACTTTCTTGGAATTTTGTGAACTGTTAATTAGCAACTACGTTGTTCTGAAGATTTTAAGGGGAGTTATAACTTACATACGAAAAAAAAAGCAAACTTTATATGCTTCTTATAGCAAAGAATTTTAAGAAATTACAATTTTCAAAAAGCAAAAACCATAGAATCTGATTTAGTAAGCCTTAACGTATTTTTAGAAGCCCTTTAAAGGCTACTGTCACAATGCATTTCACAAAAATATAACCAATTAAAATTTTCCTATTAAGTCTCTCTGATGGCACTTAAATATATTACACTGTTCGTCTGAATATGATTCAAAGCAACTCATTTGAATGTTTGCATGTTAATTCACAAAAGTACACTTCATTTTCATGAAAAACATTTAAAATTCTGTACGCAATTTCTAATACGCAATACATATTAATCCATTCATATAAAATTAGATTATATAAATGCACCATTTAATTTAATTATTGTTTAGTATGAAAAAAAAACCCCATTTTTTTTGATGATTTGTAGAAAAGAAAACACATCCAAATTTTCTTGTTATCTCTATTAAATTATAAAGAGTTTATGCACTTTCTAATAAATACTATATAGCCGTTACCCGCCTGCTTAAATCGGTATTTCATGAAGTTGTATGAATATAAACTCAAATTATTGATATCAAAGTCCTAGCCTTAAGCGTTTGATTGTATTGAAAAAAAAAACATTCTTATAACTCACAAACCTTGATGTAAAAAAAGGACTTGAGATTCTAAAATTGAAGTAGAATTATCTTTTGTGTTGTTGTTGTTACTTATGACACCTGATCGACAGTAACATTAGATCAAGGTCCACGAAATCCATTGCAGCTAAGGGCTAAATTCTTACGCCTGTCGTTAGCTTTAACTGTGAGCATCATGCAGGTGACAGTACGATTTTGCACGGTTCCACGCCAATTTTGAGGGAGAACACCCTGGGGGTGGTCAGGGGCCTTCCACCTCTTTTCCCCTTCCACCAACCTCACGAGAGAACTTAGACGTTTAGAGTATCTCCACGCCGTGAAGGTGCTATACATTTAGAAATTCCCATGCCTTTCCCGGGATTCGAACTCAGGCCCTACGGCACAGCAGTCAGCGTCAATAGCCACTATACCGGATGGGTGGCTAATGTTATCTCTTTTCCGTAACCTTCTCCTCCTAAGTAGATGCCTCCAAAACCCATTTTTAGTGAATTTCTATCCAACAAAATAAACATGCTCGCCAAATTTTTAAAGTCCAATAGTTCAAAAACTGAAATCTTTTTATGAATAAGCCTCATGCCCCCCTCCCCTCGAGATTCGATTTTCATAAGAATCGTTCTTAGCATACTTCAACTCAATAAAAGACACATGCATTTACCAAATTTCAATACCATAGGTCTAGAAATTCGAAAAAGAGATTTTTTTCCATCTATACCCCCAATAACTTCCCGTACCCCCACAGGAGTTAATTTCCATAAAATCAGTTCTGAACAGATCTCTATTAAACAAGAGAAAGATATCTGCCAAATTTCAAGTCTGTTGGTCTAATATTTCCAAAAAAAGGAATATTTACTTGTAATGCTCCTTAACACTTCGCAACGCCCCTTGGGGAGGGGTCAATTTTCACGAAACCCTGATGGAACATGCCTGCCAACTTTCAAGTCTGTAGGTCTAATAGTTCCGGAGATATCGTGATAAGTGAATGAGTCATTTTTATCCTTTATATGCATAGATAGGCATAGTTAATACTCTGTGTACGTGGTATAAAATTTATAGGATAAAAGGAGTGCTATAAATAAGTTTGTGATTTTACAAGTGTAAGTTCAATCAAAGTTATTTTCATTTTTCTTAAATCTTAACCGATTTCAATAACCCCTAAAAAATTTAAAAACAAAATGGAACATAGCTATTAAAGATTTAAAAATCATGGCAGCCGCACTCGAACTTGTAATCGAGTCGAGCGATTTGTGTCTTTCATTCTAGACATTGTAGCGTGGTCGGTATAAGTTAAATCTGTGGAGGCTCCAAGTTCACGTCTCAGCAGATTGCAATTCGGGTGTTATCTGGATATTGGTTTTAAATTACGAGGAATGTTGGCTGTGGTGGATGGATCTGTATTTATGAACGTCGCAATATAAAGAAACATTAGGACTATTGGCGACAGGCCTCTTAATTTTGAACCATTGTCAAGTGACGATGACGACAGCTGAGCAGTTATCCCTTCTCCTAACTATAACACTACATCACACCAACACGAGGACATCAAATCCACACAGATGTAACACTAGAACGTCCATCGGTGTCCATTGGACACCCCGGAGGCTGTTTAACCCTCTAAGCGGCCTGCACATAAAATCTTGCCATTCTAGAGATGCTTCAAAAATGTACCGCACGTATATTTTTGCCTTCAAGTAAGATTCTCAAAAGCGGTTGAGCCGTATTTTTAAAAATACAGCTCAACCGCTTTTGAGAATCTTACTTGAAGGCAATAAAAGCATCTCTAGAATGGCAGGATTTTTCGTGCAGACCGCTTGGAGGGTTAATTTGTTCTCCTTACTTGATTTCCGTAGGTATTAAGAAAATTTTTCGTGACCTTTAATCATTTTCCATGATGATTACACAGAAACAGTTTTGTGGTTCGAGGTTAATTAGGAGAGATTTTTTAACTGTCGGTTCGACACCAAGGCAATTTATCATTATAAATAGCTGTTGTTCAGCAAAAGACAGTTCACTAAGTAGATACCATTAGTAAAAAAAATTCCCGGATGTAATATCGCACGTTTATTTGACCTTGAATGCTGGGTTATTGGGTTCATAGCGAAAATGAATCAGTTATACTAAAATCATTGTGTCTAAGTGTTTCGTCACAGAGCATTTGCTTATC